ATTCCTCTTTCTAGGAGTAATTGAAGGTTGCATTCAAGAACAACGTCGCCGCAGGTAGCTACATCGGCCACTACGGGTACGACAACACTTGATCGCGGCGGCAGGTTCACGTGGTCGGCAGCGACTCGGACGGCGGCTGACGCTGTTTGAGGTTTCTCTGAAGACGGAACGGGCTTGCGCAGCGTCAAGCTGTTCTCACCAAGGTCGATGACGGCGCCGTATTCACACAGAAAGTCCATGCCGAGAATAACGTCTCTGGAACAGTCTTGTAGAACGATGAACTTCACAGGGCACGTTTCACCGCGGATCTCGACGCGAGCAGTGCATCTCCCGATGGGTGTGATGAGGTGCCCTCCGGCGGTTCGTATTTGAGGTCCATCCCACGGCGTCGTGACTTTTCGAAGGCGGCGGGAGAGCCTCCCACTCAAGACTGAGTAGTCTGCTCCGGTGTCCACGAGTGCAGATGCGTCGTGGCCGTCGATGACGACGTTTAGGTTATTGGACACCACTGCAGCGGCGTCGTTTTGGTCTCTGGTAGCGTTCGAGTGGGGGCCCCTCGACGTTCGTGGAGGATCTTGGCGTCGGTCGTCTTCGGCAACTCCACCTCCAGGGGTTGCCGCGCCTAGTTTCCCCGGCGAGGAGCGAGGGGGACAGGCTTTCACGTCGTGGTCGGTGCATCGGCGAAGCTGGACGTCGCGGTGACGGCGACCGGAACTCTCGGCGGGACGCAGGCTCGGGGGACTGAGGTCGTCGCAGGGAACTCGTCGATCTCGATAGGGCGTTCACCATGACGGGGGCGCGGGTCGTTCGGGTGGAACCCGCGTAGCCCGAGTCGTCGGTATGGGCATCGGCGGTAGGTGTGGTCCGCTTCCCCACAATGGAAGCACAGAGGGCGTCGGTCGGGCGTTCGCCACACGTCGGTCTTGCGGGGTGCGCGAGGCTCCAGGCAGGCGTACTGGACCTGGTCGTCGTGGCGTCGGTCGTGCTGCGGCGCAGGAGACTGACGTCGGGGCGGCGTGACATAGGTGCGACGAGGGGGCGGTGGCCGTCGGGCCACTGCGGCGTAACTCAACGTCGGTGGTTCCGGAGCGGTGCTGACGAGAACCCCAGGCTGCAGCGCTTGCTGGACTTCTTCCCTGACAATCTCGGCGATTGAGGGCGAAGCTGGGCTTGCGGCGGCAGGTAGAAGCTTCTTTATCTCTTCCCGGACGACGTCTCAAATCATCTCGCGGATGTCCGTGGTGTTGCAGCCGGAAGGCGAAAAGGAACCGACGCCGGGAACTCGGTGATAGTGGGTGGCTCGTGCTTGAAGGGCACGTTCGATGTTGGTGGCCTCCGTCATGAAGCCTTCGACGGTGGTAGGCGGGCTCCGCACAAGACCACCGAAAATGTCTTCCTTGACGCCACGCATCAAGACTCTGAGCTTCTTTGCTTCGGATGCTTCGGGATCGGCGCGGCTGCTCAGTCGCAGGACATCTTCCACGAAGCTAACGACGCTCTCGTTAGGGCCTTGAATCCTCGCTTGAAAAAGCTCTTCCGCGCGTTCTCTTCGTTGTTGGTTCGTGAACGTTCTTCGCAACTCAGCCTTGAGTTGCTCCCTGGAAGTGATCGAAGCTTCGTGGTTCTCGAACCAGTTCCGGGCGGTGGCTTCCAAGGCAAAGTAAGCGTTTTGCAGACATTGTTCCGGTGTCCACCCGTTATGACGGGCCACTCGTTCGTACTGTTGGACCCAGTCGTCGATGTCTTCGTGGCTTTCGCCGTGGAAGGGAGCCGGTGTCCGAGGAGCGACGGGTAGGTAGACGACGGCAGGAGCGGCGGGGGCCTGCGACTGGTTGTCCATCGTCGTCTTCTTCGGCTTGGGTTTGTCCAGCAGGAAACCGTACTCCGGATCCTCTCCCTTGGTGCGGCGGCTGGTCCGAGTTTCAGGTTCCGCGCTGAGTGGTCTTCTCAGCGAGCTTGGAGTCGGGCTTGCACTGCGGGTCCTGGGAGGGGAACGCTGCACGGGCATGCGGTACCCAGCACCTCCACCAAAATGTCACGGGTGGTGACCAATAAACAATAAATAAACAGAAAGAAATAAACGTTTAATGTGGCGAACTTGTGCCAAAAATAAAAAGGTACAAAAGATAATAACGGAGCGTCGCGGGCGTCGAAGTCGGCGTAGCAGCAGAGTCGAACGCTGGGCGAAAACTGACTGCAGATCAGCTCGCGGAGTCCCTATGTACGCGCGTTGGGTTCTGGAACAATCGGCCTAGATTGTTCGGCGACTGGAACATTCAGAACTCGATCTGACGAGAATGTTCTCGAACTCACGAGAACGCAATGAAAGAACAAATAAAAGAGCATTCCACTGACTGGAATCGAACCCAGACTTTCTGCACGACAGTCAAGCACGGTAACCACTCGGCCACGCGCGCGGTCGCTCGCTGACGAGCGTGGCAATATGAATAATTGATCCTGATTAAGGGAGATCAGGTTGTGTTCTCTGAAACAAAGTAATGAAAGGAAGTTTTTATAAATAATGCGTGCTACTTTGACAATGACATGGCTCGAAGCTTGGCACAATAGAGAATTTCCGTAGATCACACATTGCGAATCACAGACGCATGCTCACTCCATGCTCCAAGCAGACTTGTACACGTTACTGAAAAATAGTAAGGAATTACACTTACAATTACTCAAGGCTAAATTGTAATTTATTACAATTACAATTACCCTCTCATAAAAGTAACTGACCGTTACCCCAAAAAAGTAATCTGTTACTTTCGTGGCGTTACTTTTAACATTATTGTCCTCAAGTAAGAAACAAAGGGAAGAGGGTTATTCAAGTTCTTATTGTTGCAACGTGTTCCATTTAATGACCTTGAGTATTTTGAGCAACAGCAAGCTCTCGAAAGTCTCGTCAAACATCTTGTGGTATTTCTTACTCAATATGTCGACTGCTACGCTGAACACCCTTTGAGCTGAGGCACTGGATGGGAGTGCCATATTGTTCCTCACGAATGCTTCATTTTCTGCATTGAGCTTTTTCAGCAAAGCAAGGGAAGTACTATTTACTTCGAAGATAGAAGAAAGCTTCGTCGTTGCAGCCGTTGCCTGATATTCGAGAGATTTAGTCCATCCTTCCGATACCTCCGATAACCGCGATAACAGTACCTGATAACGATATAATGGCTGCGCAAAGACGGCGGCGAAGTATCGGATATCATTATCGGAGTCATCGGACCGAGCTACTAAAATTCTCTATTGTCTAAATCGCGAAGCTGTGGAAGTCATCAATAGCAAAACATAGTTGTAACAGTAAGGTGATAATTAAATATTAAATAAGGTTTGGCTCGATATTCTTCCTTTGGTTCGGAACAGTTGGAGCCCCACTTGAGACGTTGGTGAATAAAAAAAGTTTCCAGTATATAAATATAAGTAGTAAAAGAAACAGGACACTCATAACAAACAATTAATTAGAACGTCGGTTAAAACAAGGAAATGTAAACGCACGTTTGCCGTGATGCCTTTCTTGGTGCCGTTCAAAAACGCACGGAGCACGGACCGACTGCAGTTTACTCCGGTGTTCTCCAAACAGACGTCCGGGGATGCCACGGGCTATGGCCCCACTCAAGAATTTCACTCCCTCCTCAAGCCCAGAATATCATGTCTACGTCAGCCACCATTATGTTTTATATGTAAAAATATCTGCATGAGATAAGATGCGTCCTGCTGCGGCAAAACCGGAAGAAGAAAGGAAGACTACTACCATTTTCTAAGTGCTCGCAAAAAGCTGACTCACAAAAAGGGTAGGGTAGACGGAGCGTTGTCTCGTGTGGTGACATTATGAAACCGGTCGTAGTCACTATAACCGGGAAAGACATTGTTAATCCTTTTCAGCGCACTTACCGCCTCGAACTTCTCGAAGAGGCATACAATCACTCGGTGTTCCCCTCTCCCCGTCTTCGATCGCAAAGAAAAAACAAAGGGACTAAAAAAAAAAAAAAAAGAAACCGGAAATAACTAAGCCACCCTCCCCCCCCCCCTCTTTTTTTTTTTTTTTTTGTTTTGTAGAAATGTTTATTTGGATTTTTTTACATTTCCTGTTAGGGCCAAAAAAGAAAAAAAAAGATTCAGGGGCTTGGTTCCGACAAAAAAAAATGTAACGGATTACAAGGGATCCGTTACGTAAAAAATGTAAGGGAATTACTTTAAAATTACTCTAGAAAGTATGTAATTATTCCGTTACTAAATTACTGATAAATGTAAGGGATTACAAGTAATTTCGTTACTTGTAACGGATTACGTACAAGTCTGGCTCCAAGTCATGACAAGCTCCTCCTTGCATTGCCTTGCTCCTGCGTACGATCTACAAAAAGTCGTTAATGGACAAGAGATACTGCTTTCAAGAATAGTATGGGGTGAAAGGAAAAGTGCCTTCGTGAATGATGTATACTCCGGTTTAGCCAGCTGATGTCAAACTTTCTGCGGCATGAACCGGCCTCTAACAGAAATACTTTAAAAAATGGTGAACCAAAATTTGGTTTTCAAAAAAAAAATGCAGGAGATGTAGGCGGGAGGCTACAATCCCTTCAACACTACTCATAAGGCGATATCTCGAATGGACGGCCATATTTCTGGAAAAAGAAGTCGAGATTGAACCAGGTCGACGAGGCGTGTGACGTGAAGATATCTCGTTTCCTCCTCGCTTCGCTTCGCTCCCTCAAGGCGGCGAGGCGGAGAAGACGCGAGGCCGTTCCCTCTACTTCTCGGAGAAACAAGTAGACAAAATATCTCTCAAACGCGCATCCTTTTTTTTATAAAATACGGTCATCCGTCCGAGATATTGCTGTATGAGTGATGTTTTGGTGTTTGCAGCATTCCGTTGCGCGCTTTTGCCGCGTGTTTTGTGGAATCCAGATTTCGGTTCAGCATCCCTTTAAGATATACACTTCTAAACCGTGATGATGTGCCAAGAAATGAAATAAGTGAAATGTACAACTGAATTGTTTGTGCAGGAAGCATTTTCACTCGGAGCTGCTTGGTTGTCGTGGAGCAACAAATTTTGTTCGATGAACCAGTTGACTTCCACGAGGCGGCATGCCTTCTTTTTTGCGCCTATTACGTCCTCAATATGGTCTATACGAAAGATCTAGAGACAACGCTGGAGTTTATCCAGAGGCAAGTGAATTGAGCTTTAGTTCTTAATTCCAGATGCACTACGCGTTTCTAAATTTTTATGGTGTGACTAGTCTTTAAGATAGCATTCTTCACTTATTGCAGCAATTTTTGGAGCTTGAGTTCTCAAACTGGGTTCGTGGGAACCCAGGTGTTTGTAAACACACCTTTTGTGGGTTTCTAGAGATGCCGAATGTCCTTGATCGTTTTCTTTCTAGTTTAAGCAGTATCTGAGCAGATCCCAGCCCTCCACTGACGCAAAACTAGGTGAAACACTCCTTGGTATTTGCTTTATTGTTTATGGGGTCTAGGCTTCTTGTTACTTTATTGTGTCTATACTATGAAGGCCTCATCAGCTTCTCTTTAAGGCGGTGTTCCTTGAGTTAGAAGTGTTTGAGAACCCTTGTTCTGGAGTACAGTGACATCTCACTAATATAGACCCCGTTAATATAGATACATCGCTATATGGACGTTGTTTTGGGGGTTGAAGTAGGTGAATACAAGCATTTTTCTCTCATTATTATACACAACTCACAGTATGAACGACTTTTTGGGGATATGGAGGTGTCCATATTAACGGGATTGCTGGATATGGGGGGGGGAACAAATTTTATGGCACAACACATTATAATCTCCGGTGACAGTAGGCGGTTCTAGTTATTAAACCTTGACCTGTTTCTGCAACTCTATTTTGTGTCGTGGTTGATTACTTCTCAGGCAGGTGTGCGGCATCAATCCTCCAAAAGGCAGCAAGGGCGATGGCTACAGACGTGGTCTGGTGCATTCAAAAATTTTGAGACTTCTCAATGACGTGAAATGAACCTTCAGCAGGGTATGCCAGCTTTTACTTTTTTGATTATCAAACCATCTTTTTGCTTCAAATGTCGTGGAACCTCTTCGATTCAAACTCTGCTGGACCACAAAATGTTTTTCGGGTAAATTTTACCATAAAAGCAGCCAACTGATAAAAATGAAATGTGAAGACTTTCTTGCATCCACTTATAGTGTTTTCTTGGAAACCAGGCATGATTACACAGTCTGCCTCACTGTGGCTGTAAACTCCACTGTGGTGGCGGCGGGCATCGGCTACGCCAGCGCTGCAGTGCACAAAACTTGGTTGAACTGATTGCAAAAATAATCCTTGGTCCACCGATCAAGTTCGTTGAACTGATATATTCAATATTTTAAAATTCGTTTTTTGTTTAACTGAAACATCTTTGCATAAAATGCATAGGAAAACTGCCACAGATTTTTTTGAAGTTCGTAATTCTGAAATATTTGTTAAACCGACGTTCACTCAAGTGAGAGTTTACTGTATTGTGCTGTCACCATTCACACCCATGGTCTAGAGAAAGTCTGTGCCAATATCACTGCTTGACTGAGCAGAAATCTTCAGAGGGAAACGAATTCAGTTCTAACAAGTTGTATTGTTTGTACATAAAAAATGTGCATCCTGGTAGACATTTTTTTTTTTTTTTTGGAGCAACACTTTAGTTTTGGAGGCAATAAGTAGTTGCAAGGTCTCAGGTGAGCACCTGTTCTTTTTCCCTTTAATATTTTTACTTCAAAGACAGTTTTTCCCTCACTGAATTAATTGAGCACTAGTCTGGAGCACTGCCAATTTCACTGCTCGATTGAGCATAAATTTTCAGAGGGAAAAGAATTCAGTTCTAACTAGTAGCGGTATTGTTTGTCTATTCCCTCCACAAAGAAAGTGTGCATACGATAGACATTTTTATTTTTTTTTATTGAAGTACCACTAAAGTCCTGTGGGCAATAAGGTATTCTGCTTCCACAGATGTGTCTCATGTGAGCCCCTATTCTTTTTTTTTCTTTAATATTTTTACTTTAAAGACATGTTTCCCCTTACTGATCTAATTGAGCACTAGTGTGGAAAATTGCCCTTAGCAGCCTTGAATTGTAAAAATTAAAAATTATTTTTCCATAGTTTTGCTTCATATGTGGTGAAACTTCGTTCATTCAAACTCTGTTAGGCCATTATATCTGAAGAGTGAAGAAGTGATAAAAATGAAGTGTGAACACCTTCTTGCATCCACTTTAAAAGTTTACCTGGAAACCATGCATGATTACACAGTCTGCCTCAACGTGGCGTGACTTGTATAGTTTATGGCACCCAAAGTCATCTATTCTCAAGGAGGCAAATATTCAGCGAAGTCGCAGGCGTTTGGGCAAAACATCTCAGACAGCGGGAGCTCAAGTGCCTTGTCATTGCTGTCATCCTTAGCCTTTTCAGCTAAAGCTCTGGGCTTTAGCTGCGATGCCCTTTGTAGTTTTGCTATATCGCCCTGAAATCTTGCTTTTGAGACTATTGCGCTGTTACCATTTACACTCATGTTCTAGAGAAGCTCTGTGCCAATTTCACTGCTTGACTGAACAGAAATCTTCAGGGGGAAAAGAATTCAGTTCTAGCAAGTTGCATTGTTTGTCTATTCCAGCCGCATAAAAAATGTGCATACTGGTAGACTTTTTTTTTCTTGAGATAACATTTCAGTTTTGGAGGCAATAAGTAATTGCAAGGTCTCACGTGAGCACCTGTTCTTTTTGTCTTTAATATTTTTACTTGAAAGACAGTTTTTCCTTCACTGAATTAATTGAGCACTAGTCTGGAGCAGTGCCAATTTCACTGCTCGATTGAGCATAAATTTTCAGAGGGAAAAGAATTCAGTTCTAACAAGCGGTATTGTTTGTTTATTACAGCCACAAAGAAAGTGTGCATACGATAGACATTTTTATTTTTTTATTGAAGTACCACTAAAGTCCTGTGGGCAATAAGGTATTCTGCTTCCACAGATGCATTTCAGGTGAGCGCCTGTTCTTTTTTCTTTAATATTTTTACTTCCAAAAAAGCTTACCCCTCACTGATTTAATTGTGCACTAGAGCGGGAAATCACCCTGCAGACATTGCAGACAAAGGAATAATTTCTGAAAACCTAAATTCCAGATAGAATCCAGATAGATTTCCGGTTCCATAATCGGGATAGCGAAAAGTTATACCGGATTTTTCGGTAGGGTATATGTAGTGGAATTTCTTTAATTCAAACTCTGTTGGACCACAAAATATCCTATGAGGTAAATTGTATCTGGAGAGTGAAGAAGTGATAATAATGAAGCGTGAACACCTTGCATCCACTTAAAATGTTTACTTGGAAACCATGCATGATTACACAAAGTCTGCCTTATTGTGGCTTGACTCGTTATATAGTTCAGGGGTTCTCAAACTGGGTTCCGAGGAACACAGGGGTTCCACGAGCTGGTCTCATGGGTTCCACGAACACCCCAATTGCAACCCCCCCCCCATGTCGCAGGCTGCGCGGCAGGTGGCAGGACCATGCAAAGCGCCTTCATCTTACTCTGTACTGACATCTCGATTGATATTGTGGGGGTATATGGAAAGCAACACAAGCAACATTGCCTACAATTGTGCATCTGTTGCCTCTCGGTCGACAACTATGGAGGGGAGAGGAGGTTCCGCAGCAGTTTTTGAGGCTTCCTGGGATTTCGTGAGGCCAAAACGTTTGAGAACCCCTGTTCATGGCACCCAAAGACATGCTATTCTGGAGGAGACAAATATTCAGCGAAGCCGTGGGTGTCTGGGCAAAAGACCTCCGACAGCAGGAGCTCGGGTGCCTTTTCATGGCTGTCATCCTTAGCCCTTTTAGCTAAAGCTCCGAGCTTTAGCTGCAATGCTCTTTGTAATTTCGCTATATTGCCATGAAATCTTACTTTTAGGACTCTTGTGCTGTCACCATTCACACCCATGGTCTAGAGAAAGTCTGTGCGAATTTCACTGCTTGACTGAGCAGAAATCTTCAGAGGGAAAAGAATTCAGTTCTAACAAGTTGTATTGTTTGTCTATTCCAACCACATAAAAGGTGTGCATACTGGTAGACTTTTTTTTTTTTTTACTGAACACTTCAGGTTTGGAGGCAGTAAGTAACTGCAAGGTCTGAGGTGAGCATCTGTTCTTTTTTTTCCAATAATGTTTTTACTTTAAAGATAACTTTCCCCTCACTGATTTAATTGAGCACCAGTGTAAGAAATTGCCCTAGCAACCTTGAACTGTAAAATAGTTCACTGGATGGATTGCTCATTTTTAACAAGGTGTTTTGTCTCTTCTAGCCATATGAATTGTATGCATGAAAGTGGACATTACTTAAAACATTGTTTCAGTCCTGCAGACAATAAGTCATTGCTAATTGAGGCTGGTCGCTGCTAGTCACAAGCATCGACAAATTTCTGGAGCTATTCAGCACAGATGAAGCACCTTATCTGGTGTATTGCTTGTTAACCTCAAAGTGTGTCGTATAGCAGCGTGCAGGTTCTGGGTGTGTTGAGTTCGGGCTCCTTTACTCCTACTCTGGGCGCAGCAACTAAATGTATAGTGTACGAGAGTGTGACACACTGGAACAGTTGACGAGCCGCATGAGCCCCTTCTTATTGCACAGTTGTGACTAATTTGGCGCCTCATAGATGCGGGTGGCAGAAGCCAAAATTATTTCGAAGAAAAATAAAGGCCTGTGGGGAACAGCAGAATGTAAGGTAAAAAAGACGGCAACATTATGAAGTTTAGTCAAATATCTTAATACTCCTGAAACGTTTAGAGATTCACTTTGAACATGTATGCGGAAAGTTAGCATTACCAAACCGGGTTTATTGACCAAGCATACTGCGCAGATTTAAATGAGAACATTCTTGTGGTTGACGCAGGTAACTGTCAAACTTTTCAGACTGGCAAACCAAATTGAGCCCACTTTCAATTTGTTTTCCAAGCGAGATGCACAAACACAACTTTTCTGGAATGCTGATTGATGTGTCAGCTTTTTAAATGAAGCATTTTTATTCGCTCAACTAAGCCTTGTAAAAGGGCTGGTGTCAGACTGTCTTCTCATCTCAGCAAGGTTACCGTTCGATAGATAGCACATTAATTTGTTTTCTTGCGAGATGCGCAAACAAACCTTTTCTGGAACACTAATTGCGTTCTTGGCTTTTACGAACCAGTTTTATCTGCTGGATTAAGCATTATTCAACTAAAAAAAGGCAGCAGTTCGACTGTACCCTTCGTCTCGACAGCGTTTCTGTCGGCGCAGCCGTCTTGTTTGGAGAGGAGACATCACGGAGCGTGAAGAAGTCGCTCACGCTCCAAGAAAACCTCTGTGCACGAAGAGTGTGCTCAAGTGTCGGTCTCTGGCAGCACTCCTGTCCGTTTACCAAACAGAACTTTATTCACTAGAAAACTGACCATGTTTTATTGTAAGATTGAACACTTATTGTTATGGTATGGGGGCTGCAAACCTCCCTTCCCTTTTTCATCATAAAGTTGGGGGTCTAAGAACCCCCTGGCTTAAAGCACTGATGCCATGCACGTTGGAAATTTGAACTGGGGGAGATGTCAGGTGTAACACACATTCCACAAAACTAGCATTTCAGGCTGTACTCTGTAGGCACCATGTTTTAAAAAAAAGCTGAAAAAACCCTTAAATAAAAAAATATATATATATATTATTGTGAGCACCTAAAAAATAGTGTGTGAATTTTTATTTCAGTCTCGTTAGTAGGAGCGTTGTAATTGCCATTATTAAAATTTCTCTGTAGCCCCACCCATTGCAGCAGGCTGAGCGCAGCAGAGCGCGAGAGTGGAGATAAAAACTAGCAAAGGTAACATCATCGGCAGGGTCAGATGACCCTTGCTCACTATAACCTGGCGGGGGGTGCCGACGATGTCACGCTTTTGGATAGATTACGGGTGGCAGAGAGGCTCACCACATGCCCTGTAAAATTCACTGCACATATTTTTCTAAA